CGTGACATCTTCCTTCACCCTTTCCTCCCATCAGGGAACTGAGTGGCTCCGGGAGTGGGGGATTTATGTCTTGTGGGGAATTCATATGCCTGGATTAGATGATTTTACAGAATCCCACGGCATGCCCACACTGACGAGGACTTCTGAAAAGTGTGACCATTGTGACAGCTGCGTTGACCAGGGTAGGAGGACCCACGTGTTTTCATTCACTGGTAGATGAAGTATACGCTGGATTCTATCTTAAGGAACTGTGGAAGTAGTTATCAAAATTTCTTTTAAGAATGTGTATGCATTAGGCTTTTATGCACACAACAATTTAGCACAGCATTCTATATGTTTTATATCTATTTTTTCCCAGTAAAAATTAAGGTTTCATTTATTTTATCTTTTTTTTTTTCCCCAGAGGATACATGCACTTATGGTGGAGGGAACAAGAAAGCATGCTCCCAAGGGTCATGGTCCTGTCCCAACCTCGACTCCTCTGCTTCTCCCTCCTTTCAGAATTTTGGACACGCATGCATACACATCCAGTGTGTCTCTCCAGACGCTGGGTCCAGGATTCAAACCACATGGTTAGGCATATCAGATCTAGCTGCTGTACTCACCAGACTGCGGGCTGGCCCAAGGTCTAATTTACACACTGATAGATTTTTTCCCTTTTCAGCAGACAGTTCTGCCTGTCAAACTCATCGAGACCTGTGCTCACTGCCACAATTGAGACAGAGAACGGTTGTATCACAATCGCCAAATTTCCCCATCCCTTGATAATCAGTCCTTCAGTACAGGAAAACACGGATCTGGTGGACTTTTTTCCTATAGTTCTTTTTTTTTTTTTTTTCTTTTCCAGAATGAAAATCATGAGTATGTAGTATTTCATGCTGGTTCATTTAGATGAAATCTGATAATATAATTTTATGAACCAAATTTTTGGTGTCATGCCAAAGACATTTTTGCTTAACCACGTCATACATATTATAATTATATCTCATGGCCTTGTGAGATATAATTCTCATAATATAAAATTGACCCATGTGAAGTATACAGTAGTATATGCAGAGTCGTACAACCATCACGATTTAATTTTAGAACATTTTCACTATCCCCCAAAGAACCCCCATATTCATTAGCAGTCATCCTTGAATTAGTTTCCTATTACTGCAAACCTAGTATTAATAGCTTAAAACAACAGTTACTTCTTGTCTTATAATTTAGAAGGACACAAGTCTGAAACTAATGTCATTGGACCCAGATCAAGTCATCGACCAGACTGCTGTCCCTCTGGGGTCTCTAGGGAAGAATCTCTTCCTTGCCTCTTTCAGCTTCTAGTGGCTGCTAGCATCCCTCACTTGCGGCTGTGTTACCTCAATCCTCAAGCCAGCATCTTTGAATACCTCCATCATTACATCACCTTCTCCTGTGTGTGTTCAAATCTCCCTTTGCCTCCCTCTTAAAAGGACACACGATTGCATTTAGTGCCCATCCACATAATCCAGAATAATCTCCCAGTCTCAAAATATTTATTCACAGCAGCAAAGGTCCATTTTTGTCATAGGAGACAGTATCTTCAGATTTCAGAGATTAAACCATGGATTATCTTTTGGGAGGCCATTTTCCAGTTTATCATAGTCCCCATTTTCGCAGTCCCAGGCAACCACAAATCTCCTTTCTATCTTTGTAGACTTTCCAATTCTGAAAATTTCTTAAGAACATATATTTTTTGGAGAGGTTTTTGCTATAGGGCACGTGCACTCGCCAGACAGACAGAGAGAGACAGAGAGACAGAAAGTGAGGAATCACCCCCCAGGAGGGATGGCCACACCATAATCCCTTCTCCTCCATTCTCCTCTCGAGATCTTGGGCACGCGTGCATACGTGCCCGGTGTGAGTTTTAGCCACTGGGTCTGGGACTCAGACTGCGGGCGACTTCGTGGGTGTCCAGCAACATAGCCATTATGCCATCTGCTGGTCCCAGGAACATAATTTAACAATAAATGATTCTTGTGACTGGCTGCTTTCGTTTAGCATCACATTTTCAAGGTCTGTCCATGTTGTAGCAGGATTTGCTATACAAATTTTATTAGTACTTCATTCTTAATCACTGAATAATATTCCATTGTATAGATATATATTCTTTCACTCACTTATCAGTTGATGGACATTTGGTTTGTTTCCGCCCTTTGGCCATTTGAACAGTGCTACTTATGACTTTCAAGTACAAGTTTTTGTGTAGACATTTCCTTTCATTTATCCTGAGTATATAACCAAGAGTGGAGGTACTGTGTCTTATGACAACTCTGTGTTTACCATTTTGTGCAACTGACAATTATCGGTTCATTGGAAAAGTTATGACAGGTTTCTCTATGCAAAAATGCATCGTGACCTTTCCAGCGACCCAATAGCTTTCCAAAGTGGCTACAGCACTTTCCGCTCTGACCAACCATGCACCAGGATTCTAATTTCCCCCCAGCCTCTCTAATACACGCATTGTCTTTTTGTTTGTAGCCATCCCAGCACGTGTGAAGTATGTCTTGTGGTTTTGATTTTTATTTACATAATGCCTAATAATGTTGAGCATCTTCTTTTACACTTATCGGTCATATGTATACCTTCGGAGAAGTGTCTGTTCAATTCCTTTGCTCATTTTAGAATTGGGTTATTCATCTTTTCAACACAAAAAATGCTGTGCCAATAATTCTGGCTTCCATTGTTTTAGCTGAGAAATTCACGGTCATTTTAATTGGTGCTCCTTTATGGGTAATGTGTTGTTTCTCTATTTTTTTTTTTCTTTGCTTTAAGGTACATGCACTCAGCAGAGAAAGAGAGGCAAAGTGAGAAAGCACCCCATGAGAGTGTGGCCACTCCTCAAACCCTTCTCCTCCATTCTCCTCTTGGAATTTAGGGCGTGTGCGTGTTACCGAACTCAAATCAGGTTTGCTCGCCCAAGCGCTATAAAACCAAGCCATAGGCACGTGGCGTGATGAAGGAAAGTCCAGCTTTATTGCAAAGCACAAAGCAAGGAGAGCGGGCAGCTCATGCTGAAAAGACCCGTCTCCCAGAGATGTTCCCCACATGCGTTTTTAAGGGCAAAATTAGGGGCAGAGGTCCCAGGCGCATGATCAGTTCAGTGATTGGTTCAAGAGGGCGTGATCGTCTTGTGGACATTCTTGATTGGTGAGGCCTTAGATAATCAAATTCCTCTTCAGATGTCTGGAACCAGTCAGCCTGGAGTCTCTGAGCTCACAACCAGCAGTTTCCAGTCTACAAAGTATCTTACCCATTAAATGAAAACTTTCTTTAAGTGAGAGTTTTAGAG